GTATAACAACTGTTTATGTAGCATTTTAGATGTATTAAGTATTAGGGCTGGAGAGATGACTAAGCGGTTAAGAGCACTGACTTCTCTTTCGGAGGACCCAGGTTTGGGTCCGAGCACCTACATGACAGCCATCAACCCTCCATAATTCCAGTTTCAGGGGATCCGTTGCCTTCTTTTGGCCTCTGGGACTATTTCATACAAGGGCGCACTTAACATATGTGCAGGCAAAAGACGAGTATATACATAAGATAAAAAAATAAGTTTAGCAGGACACCGTGGCGCATGTCTTTTATCCTAGCATTCAGGAAGCAGAGGCAGGCTGATCTCTGTGAGATGGAGGTGAAGCTGTTCTACATAGTTAGTTCCAGTCCATCTGGGGCTACAGGGAGACCCTGTCTCAAAAAAAATAGCTAATTAAAAAAATCTAAATTTCTCATTTGATTTTTAAAAATGTATTAGATAATTATAAGTAATCTAGATTATTTAAAATACACAAGGAAACGAATGTTTATGCACTTCTGCATTTTATATATATATATATCAAGATTTCAGCATCCTTGTATTTGGGTATTTCAAGGCTTCCTGAAATCAGTGCCTTGCAGATACAGAAGGATTTTTGGTTGTTTGATTGATTGATTTGGGGTGGTTTTTATTTTTTGATGGTACTGGAGTTTGAACCCAAATCTTTATTCATACTAGGGAAGCACTATGCCACTGAGTGCTACCCCCAGCCCAGACCAACTATATTTTATGTGCACCAGCTTCTCTTTACTAGCTGCATGGTACTCATTTTATTGGTGCACTGTACTACTTTAGCCATCTTGCATAGCTTGGTTATTCTCTGTCATTTGTCTGTAAAAGCAGTGCTTCCATGTGTCAACCTAAATAAGAATGAGGGGAAGATTCTCTAATGATTGATACTTATTTGAGAGTTGCAGATTATTTCAGTGGGAATACACATGTTCTAGTAAGCTCTTACCATGGCCTAAGAGGGCCAGGTAAAAGGATTATCTCTTTATTTTGATGCTAGGGTCCCAATCCATCCCCTCTTTTGAACCTTTAGAAAGTACTTACGCAGTACACAAACATGAGTCCTCTCCACTCTTAATGTTCTAGCTTTTAATTTTGTCTGAATCTGACAAGAAAAAAATTTCATCCTGATATCTTTAACTTTCACGTGCGAGTATCTTTGTGTACAAATTTTTCCTTTTTTAAAAAAAAATTATTTTGTGTGTGGTTGTGTGCGTGCAAATGTGTGTGTGCCAGTGCATATATGGAGGTCAGAGGACAGCTTGCAGAAGTCAGTTCTCTACACCATCTGGATCCTGGAGATTGAACTCAGGTATCAGGCATGGCAGAAGGCACCTTTCTCCACTGAGCCGGCTCTTTGGGCCATTGTATCTGGACTGTCTGGACTGACTGAACATTCACATAGCCCCAGGAAAAGGCACTCAGCATGAGTAATGAAAAGAGTGGTGGAGCCATTTAGCAGAGTTAAAAGAGAAATCAATTGTAGCAAGATGCTAGCATGTTTGTTTTTCAGACAGTCTGTGCAATCTAACCTTTCCTCAAACCTGTGATCATCCTCCCAGGTGCTGGTGTGACAGTTATATGCTAACACCTATCAAGATCTAAGGAGTTTCATTGTACTTTCTCAGGATATACTGAGATGGGGGCTGGTGAGATGACTGTGTTCAAGGGGACTTGCTGCTCTCACAGAGAACCCAGGTTTGGTTCCTAGCACCTACATGGAGGCTCGCAACCAGCTGTAACTCCAGTTAAAGGGATTTGTCGCCTTCTTCTGACCTCCATGGGCACTGTGTGCATGTAGTGTGCTTACTACTTACATCCATGCAGGCAAAACACCCATACATGTAAAATAAAAATAAATGCAATCTTTTTAAAAACATAATATTGAGATAAATTTAAATGAAGGTAAAGGAAGTAGTTTAAAAGTAGCAGAGTTCCCTCAGTTGATAGAATGCTTACCTTGCATGCTTGAGGCCCTGCGTTCCATCCCCAATACCTCCTAAAAGCCTACCTATGATCCCAGCACTCAGGAAGTAGAGGGGGGAGGATCTGAAGTTCAGAGTCATCCCTAGCTACACAGGGAGTAAGCCAACCTTGGCTGTATAAGGAAAGGAAAAAGGAAGAGGAGCAGCCCGAGGAAGCTGAGGCCAAAATGGCCTGAAGGAGTTACAGAACAGTGAAGAAGGAGGGCCTGGGTTGTGTTTAGAAGGCAAAGGACAGAATGGCATTCTTGTACATTACCTGGCAGTGTTGACATGCCCTTCCTCAACCTCATCTCCTCCCTCCGCCCCGTGGTTGCTGGAGGCTGTTGTGCAGGTACAGCTCTCCAGTGGGTACAGTGGGCCAGAGAAATCCTGTGATTTATGCATGGGAGCTGTTTCTTCTCAGCAGCTGCCATAGCCCGGTCACTGGTACATTGTTCTTCCTAAAACAGTGCTGTTGTGCAAGATCTCTGTATTTGATATAATACTGTGATTCTTAATCTTTTGGGGGGCAGTAGAGACCCCATTGAAAGTTCAGTAAAAGCTGTTCTCCCACTTCTCAGAAAGCTTAGATATCATGTTCTCAACAAAGAGGTTGGAGTGGATATCCCTGAATAACTAATTATCAGAACAGTATGGAATGACATTGTTTCAAGTTAGATCTGCATGTGAGTCTCCTAGCGATCTTGTTAGAATGTACATTCTGACCCTGGGTCCTGGTTGTGGCTGGTGATTCTGCATCTCTAATAAGCTCCAAAAGATAGTCATCTCAAGAGTAGATTAGAAGTGACAAAAATGAATGTGTTGCTGTCTAAACATCTCTTAGCTTCTGTATACAATTCCATGCCTCTGATTAGGCACCTGCTGAGCCAGTGGGACCCCCGACAAATCAATAAATACAGAAGTTAATTTCTTTCCATCTTTGGAAGGCTGGCTGTTGTAATAACAGCAGATCTAAAATATCGTACAACTTCTAATAATGTTTCATGGTGTGTTCTGATTTGGAAATGGCTGTTTTACATAAATGATACATCTGTTTTTCCTTTTATCTGTAAGAGTCTTCCTTTTTCACTCTTGCATCTGAAAAACTAATGAGAGTTTAAAAAAAGACTACTTGTCACAAACTTTTTGGTGGACTGAGTCAACTGCTATGCTTAAACTGTGTCGTTTTTGGTGCTTATTTATTTTGAGACAGAGTCTCATTTAGTAGCCCTGACTGCTCTGGAACTCGCCATGTATACTAGGCTGGCCTCAGTCTCACAGAGATCCACCTGCCCCTGCCTCTGGAATGCTGGGATTTAAAGGTGTGTGCCACCATACCCAGCCTAAGAATTTTTTTAAGACTTATTTTTAGTTTTATTTATGTTTATGTTTGAGTGTAGGCCAGGTATATACAGGTGTCTGCAGAGGCCAAAAGAGGGCATCAGATCCCCTAGAACTGGAGTTAGAGGCAGTTATGAGCCACCCAGTGTGAGTGTCAGGGAGCTAAACCTCAGTCCTCTGCAAGAGTAGCAGTTGCTCTTAACCACTGAGCCGTCTCTCCAGCCCTTTGATTTGACATTTTCATGCATGTGTGTTGTAAGCCTAGTCCTCTTTGATACCCGTACTTGTTTTCCTGGACTTGTTAAATTTTCTTGATTCTCCCCCCTCCAACCTCCAATACTGAGATCGAATAATATGGTTATTTTTAGTAGTTTAATCAGCAAATTACATTTTAATTCAGATGGTAAGATACTTGCTTTTTGGAAGGAAGTAATCCTAAATCCTTTGAGAAAGAAGCTTTAGGTTAAAAACAGCTGTGAAATTTCTATGCATATAGGGCTTTATTTTTCCATATAGCTAATCTTGCCTCATTATTTTCTTAAAGATGTCAGAAAAAGTTCAAATTCCCTTCATAACTATATGCCCAAGAGAAAAGAAAACATGTCCACATGATTTGGGATTTTAAAAAATGTTTTTATTACATTTCTTTTTCATGAGTGGGGAGATTATGAACATTCCATGGTAGATGTGTGATCAGATATCAACTTGTTGAGGTTAATTATCTTCTTTTCATCATATGGGATCAAACTCAGGTGGTCAGATTTATTGGCAAGTGCCTTTTCCCACTGATCCATCTCACTGGCCCCCGACTGGAAATTTGAACTTGAATGTACATAGCAGCCTTACAGTAAGCCAAAAAGGCAAATCATTCCACATTCCACATGTGTAAACGAATGAATTAATAAGATGTGGTAAGCCGGGCGTGGTGGCGCACGCCTGTAGTCTCAGCACTTGGGAGGCAGAGGCAGGCGGATCTCTGGGAG